TTCGAGAACAGGTTCACGATATTAAGCACAATTCATGAACTTTAATCATGTTTACCAGAACAAGATCATGATTTTCAGAATAGAGTTCACGTTTCTATGACTTGTGTTTCCTTTGCTGGTGCCCAGTGCAACTAACGCAGGCGTAACGTTTATTTTGCGGAACAATGTTCAAGATTTCAGGATTTTTATTTATGATGACTTTCGTAAACGATAAATTTCACTTGTTCCGATAATCATGACTTGAGGTTGACGAATTTTGGAACGGATTTTTTCCCGTGTAAGCGGCACTACGCGTAGTAGTAGAATACCGTTTATTTCTTTTGATTATGATTTTACATTGATTTAACATTTCATTTGATTAGCCAGCTCTTCATCATTGTTTAATTTGTTATTCTAATTTAATATTGGCGTTTTTCAACTAGTTTACAGAATACTCTAGGGGTGTGTTTTGTTTAAATTGAAAAATGTTATAACCTACCTAACTACGAGTATAACTTATAACCTAACGTGCTAGATCACGTATGATCATATATTTGATTTCATACAGATATCTCTGATCCTTTCCAGGCTGAATACTCTCCGTTCTTCCAACGCCTGAATTCTAGCCAGGATGTGTATCTCAGAATATCGAGTCCGTGGGGGGACTGTTAAGGAACCTCCTAAGGATCTTGATCTGGATCCTTTTCAGTAAAAGGTGATGGCATTTGGAACAACTCTCCCAGATTGGCATACCATACTCAATAATAGGTAGTATTAGTTTTTTATAGATACCAAGCTTATTTTTCAGGGATAAGGTGGACTTCCTGTTGATAAGCGGATTCAGTGATATTATCAACATGTTTCACTTGGTGTTAGTTTGAAAGGTGGTACCGCCATATAATATTAGTCAGTAGAATACACGCAACGGGAAAGGAAAATTAAACATGATACTTTGTATAGTCACTCTAAAATTTTCACTTACACGCCACGAAATTGTTTTAAAATGAAGCGATATTACCTACCCTGAATGGTGAAGTGAGCGTTTATTATCCTCCATAAAAATGGACTCGAGTTTTCGTTCGACCAAGACAGTGGTCGCTTTATTAAAATCCTTCTCCTTTGGGAACTACGTCCAAACTGGAACTTTACGCCTTCTCTCAATCTAAAACACTTCCACAGTAGTTGTCAATTAAGAGCTTTTCAACGATCCCGAATTTGTATACTAACTCGAAAATATTCTCAAGTTGAATCCGCTACCTTTAGCATGAAGTGCTTCTCTCTTACTAAGAAGGTAATCAGGAGTTCCCCACTATGCATCTTCTTATTTTACCAGCTTTAGAAACGAGCTCTCTACTTAATGTTGTTGAAGCACTTCCACAGTTATTCATCGAAAGCTTTCCATGCCAACCAATGCATGAATATGTATATTGAGGGGCAAAAAAGCACAGGGAAGTCGAGAAAATTTCCAAACTGAAAGATTCCCTCGACCGAACCGGAAATCGAACCCACCACCAACGCCTTCGTAATAATGTGCACTGACTATGCTATCTGAGGCCCCACATAAATTATGATGTGAAGCTGAATGGAAGGATCCACTGCAAACGGTGGGGCTATTTTCAGAGTGGAAAAAGCGGAAATCATAACAGTGGATGGTGGCGAATCTCGACTTTCATTCATCAACTGATGCTACTGCTGCTGCTACAATGCCCTGGAGCGCGAAGGATTGCTGTTACACAATCGTTTTCATGTTGCGTTAGTTTCTCGCTGAATTGAACAAATACACCTTGGTTGTACGGCTTGCATAGTAATTCATCCCGTGGGCCTCGGATGATTTGAGAGTCGGGAGCCCCCGATAGCCGTGCATGAAGAGCGACAGGATTGTACAAGCACCGTACTGGAAGTGACGAGTTCGATTCCCGGGTCAAACATTTTCTCAATTTCTCTAGACACACACACAAAATAAGTACAGTAAAACTAACGATGAATCATAAATTCCAACTGAAACGTAATCAGTCAGGAAGACAACTTCCGACTGCAATGATGGATTGCAGAGAGGAGAACAATTCCCATTGATAGTGGCTTGAGAATAATGGAAACCACGGTTCTTTCAGCAATGATGTTAATAGTTAACAAGACTTTCAACAACGGTATAAATATTCAGCAGTTTCCTGCATCCTACAGGAATCACGAATCGTTCATTATGGTATTTTCGCAGCAATAGATAATTAAATAATGTATCCTCTAGCCAAAGTTCTAAAAACTAAACCTCATTTATAACCAGTGTTCCGAAAAACTCAAAAACTCAAATCTCATGCATGAGTTTATGCGCCTATGAGTTTTGCCTTGCAAAATTCAACGTCGCAAAAATCACCGATGAGTTTTCAGGTTCAAAAATTCATTGCTTTATATTTTGGCATTATTCGTTGTTATTACTATTGTTTGTGCATCAGGGGTTGGAAAACTAACACAACATGCATACGCATGATATTAATTGACGTTTGAGTGGTTTTTATGAGTTTAAAGCTGGAATGATTTTTCGGCGTTGTGAGTGTGAGTGCGTGAATATGCATGAGAATTTCAAGCGTGAATTTTGTTTGCCGCATTCGCACGCGAGTTTATTCTCGCAGGGAGGCTCAATGAATGAGATTTGAGAATGTTTTTCCGAACACTGTTTATAAGTTTTTTTATTTTTTTTTTTTTTGCAAATCCGCTGAAAATATACTTTACACGGGAATTTTAACACCCTGATCAGTGTTGGAAAAATATCAAAAAATTAAATCTCACCAAAGAATAAGATCACTATTCGTAGACAAAAATCAACAAGCAAACAACTGCGGTTGATATTGCAAGCAGTGATATTGCAGCTCGGAATATTAAGCTTACAAAGGTCATCAGCTGCAATTCTCACCAAACTGTGGTGAGATTGATAGCGAATTTGTTTTAAATTCAGTTCCAACCTGGATCGGGTCAATGACATTTATATAAGGTCTGGGCCAACAGGCAGCTTGCTGGTGTTAGAAACAAAAATGTTGTAAACATTGCTGAACATCTCCGAACAGATAGAAATACGTCACTGCCAACAGCTGTTCCGTGTAAAAAGATAAACATTGCAATATAATACGAACACCACTAAATATTTGAACATTTCACTAACACCAATAAGCCCTTTGGCCCAGACCTTATATAAAAGTCATTGGGATCGGGTATCAAGATTAGGTCTGCTTGTTGGCTTTCAAACGTCAGTGTTAACGTTTGTTTTTGTAAACTGGCTCGGGTTGAGGTTTGCTCTGACAATATGTTCGGGTTCGCACGGGTTGAAATTGGTTCCAACCTGGATAGTAAACAAATTCGATATGAGTTTCATGATTTTTGCTTTACACCCGAACGCAACCGAAACTTCCATAACTCCTACCAGCAATCGCTTCGTGACTGAGAAAAAAGTTATGCCATTATTATACATTCTCTTCCTAGTAAAACGAGGTGCAACCCCTAATAAAAAATTACTATAAACGAACGATAACCCAAATAATAGAACTATTCCACAAATGGTTTGGATGGTACTCCGAACACGTCGTTAAGCAAAATAACCATAACAATTTTATTGGGGACGGAATCATTTTTGCGTCGACTCAACACTCAGCTTCAACTTTACACATTGTGAATTGGCGTTGACGGCACCGTCGAAAAATCAACTCTTCTAGAATAAATTGACAGTTTCTGACGTTTGCTTATGGATTTTACCAAGGTGACAACATATAGGTGTTCTAATGTGTCAAATTCATGATTCAGCCATGTTGGATTTTTGTATGAGACAGCGACCGAGTTTGTTTACAATTTGCTCTAAAATCACCCTTAACCCCCCCCCCCCCCTCCCGCGACCTGCTCGCCTATATAGTGACAAAGCTGTATCACCATTTATATACCCACCATGGATTTTACCATAGGTGTAAAGAGCTACAGAGTCGCCGTCAAAGATGATTTCTAAATGTATTCACCTTTCCATACGTACCGTTGGATTTGATAAAGATTCACAAATTGTTGAGATATTGCTTAAAATCTAATACTGCTTCTTGATTCTAAATTCGTTCTACGAGTTTCAATTCCATCCTAACGCATCGAAACGCCATTAGATTTTCTTCGTCCTACGGATAAACGTAGAAAAAGGGGATGTCAGATGCGTAGAAATATTTCTGAACGATTGATGTTAAAATTATTAAAATTGGTGCAGAGGCCGCTGAGTTATTAACGTTCAAAATCTTTCATAATTTTGTAACATGTTCCATTTTCGGCTTTCGCAAAGTGTACCCCCATATAGAAATCACAGAGGTAGTCCTACGTCAAAAAAATTGCATTTTAAGATTGCACTTATCTACCTACCCGTGGAAAACATCATCACTTTCATAGTTCTTTTATTCTCCACGGGAGCGAACTTTGATTAATCAATTGGAAGCTGAATGATGACGATGAGTGATGACACCGTTTCGTGTTTAGATTTGCGCTGTACATCGTCTTGATTTTTTTTTTTCTATTTTCGATGCCAGCCACAAAAAAAAATCATCGAAAAAAAAACAAAAAATATTATCAAAAAATTAAAAAAGCCGAAAAAAAAATTCTTGAATTTTTTTTTCATTTTCGATGCCAGGTACACAAAAAATCATACAAAAAGAAAAAAATTCTTGATTTTTTTTTTGTTTTTGATGCCAGCCACAAAAAAAATCATCGAAAAAGAAAAAAAAAAGAAAAAAGGCAAAACAAATTCTTGGATATTTTTTTTTTTCTATTTTCGATGCTAGCCATAAAAAAATCACTGCGTTTTCAGCAGCCTTGAGTTCTGCAGCGTTGAGGAATTCATTTGCGGGACGACTTGCTGCTGGTATTCGTAGGAGTCTCATGAGTCGAAGCCAGTATGCTGTTCGTCAAACCAAATCAGAATACGATCCGAACTTGCTGAGATACACTTCGTTGAATTCTGCTACGGGTGATACAGTACACGCAACTACGGAGCGACGCCTCTCTTCCTCTCATGCTTCTGGGATTTCTTCGACAGCACCAGGCCATGCTTCTGGAGCCTCCTTCAGCCAATTCGGACCTTCCCACCAAAGCTCATTGTCGATATCTTCGGGTGACACTCCACGCGATATTAGATCCGCTGGGTTGTCTGTACCAGGCACATGTCTCCATTGCCATCCCTCCGTTAGCGTTTGAATTTTTGCCACCCTGTTGGCAACGAACGTGGTCCATGTTGCTGGCGTAGATTCGATCCAACGCAGCACACATGTTAAATCTGTCCAGAAGAAAGTCTGAACCGCTAACCGAGTAGAATCCTTGACCTTTTCGTATAACTGGGCCGATAATAGCGCACCACAGAGCTCTAATCGTGGGATAGACTGGCAACGGAGTGGAGCCACCTTGGATCAGGATGATAAGAGTCGAACCTTGATTGTTCCGCTGGAATCCTGACTTCTTATGTAGACGCAACCACCATACGCCTTATTCGACGCGTCTGAAAAGCAGTGTATTTCCACTAGTACTGCCTTGGGAATCATGACACAGCGATCGACTCGAATTTCATTCAACAATGGGAGTTCTTCGTGAAATTTCAGCCAATTTTCACCCACCATCAAAGGTACTGGTTGATCCCAATCCAACCGATTGCCGGTCTCGTCTTGCAACGTCCAAAGCTGCTGCATGAAGATCTTGGCAGACGAAGTCGTAGCACCAATCAATCCAAGCGGATCGAACAGCGTTGCGATTAGTGACAATATTCGACGCTTCGTCAACGGGACACCAGGTTCGATCGGAGGAACTGTGAACTGGAATCGAAGGGTATCGGTAATAGGCATCCACGTTAGTCCTAACGTTTTGACGGATTGATCAGAATCCAGGTTGATTCCTTTAGGGTCTCGAAGAGCCAGGTTTTCTTCGGGTACGCCTTCCAGAACTTCGGGAACATTGCAAGCCCACTTTCGGAGCTTGAAACCACCACACAGCATCATCTCGGGCAACTGGTTTCTGAGACTGATAGCTGCATCCACCTCGTCCGTACGGGTGATGACGTCATCCATATAGACGTCCTCACGAATTGCTCTTGCCGCGAGCGGAAATCGGTCTTCTTCGTCAGCAGCCAGCTGTCGGAGAGTTCGTGTTGCCAGGAATGGTGCGGGTTTGGTTCCATACGTAACGGTGTTCAGTTCGTACACTGCGACTTCCTCGTCCGGAGAAAAGCGAAATAATACGGTCTGGAGTGGTCGATCCTTCAGCCACGTAAGGATTTGTCGGAACATCTTCTCGACGTCCGATACGAGGAGAATCTGCTTCATCCGACTGCGTAGGATAATTGACCTCAAATCTTCCCACACAACTGGCCCTACCAGAAGCACATCGTTTAAGGACACTCCGGATGACGTTTTACACGAGGCGTCGAAGACTACTCTGACCTTGATGGTGGTACTCGCCTCCTTGACCACCGGGTGATGGGGAAGATAACACCGTTTCACCGGTCCCTCCGCCGTTTCTTCGACCTTGCGCATGTGTCCCAGTTTCAGGTACTCGTCCATGAATCCGATATATTGTTCCCGTAAGTTGGCGTCCCTTGCCAACCTCCGTTCCGTTCCGAGAAGACGTCGGAATGCGATGTCCCGTGACTCGCCCAGGTTAGGAAGAACGTCTTCGTTTTTGGGTAGGGGAACAGTGTAACGATCTTCTGGACCTCTTTGAACTCCACGTTGAAATAATTCTTCACACTTTTTCTCCACTTATTATTGAAAAGTTATTGCAAAAATTTATAAAATTTACCTCCTTTTTAATCACAAGCTGCTCAATCTTCTCCCCAACAAGCGAACAGAGAAATTCAAACAGGTCAATATCGTCCTTGATTTGTATGCGTTTACGGAGAGTTAAAGAGTAATCGATTATTTTTTCCCGTTTGGAAGCAACATAGTTTCGTACACTGAGATAATTATCCCTACAAATTTCATAAACTACATCGTATGAACGCATGCAAATACAAGCCTGAATCAATTTCATAATTATCTTATGTTTTCATACTCCATCTATAGTATTCATAATTTTATACAACAAAAAGTATACGAAAAACATTAAAATTTCATAAACACATCGTATGAATTATTTTGGTTCAGCTTACGGCAAAAAATCATACGATGATCAAATGAAATTTATTTAGACAGTGCAAATCAAAACAACAACAGTAAAAAATTTTGAACAGGAATCGGACACGAGTACAAGCAAAACTACTCTCAAAATCGTAAGTATAAAGTACTCAGTTGGTTCGTTATTTTTTACAATACCGAAGGTGATCCAGCGCCGAGCTGAAAACCTCCCTAATAAAGAAAACCTAACCTAACTATACAATTTTTGTTTACAGAAAAAAATGGGTGCTCAAGGACTTCCATTACCCCCCTGACGATAATAGGTAAATGTATTGACAAAACCGTCATTTACCCTATTTGATTAGGTGAATAAATACTATACTTAAAAATCCAAAATCACATTTTTTAGTACAATCAGCCTATTCTACTCGCTAGCAAGGTGAGGTAACTAGTGAATTGATCCTAGTCACCTCGTGGAGTATCACGCCACCACGCGATAACTATTGTCACTTCACTCACAACGCACAATAGGTCTGAATATAATAAATATAATAAATAATTGCTTGATTTAACGGCTTTCTCAGTCTTAATCTAACTCTAAAGACTACTATTTAATGTGCCCGACGCTTCGGTCATAGGTTTTAGTTCATGGTCCATGGTCGAAACGTCGGGCAGATCAAATCGTTGTCGTTAGAGTGAGATTAAGACTTAGAAAGCCGTTAAACTAAGCAAATCACTCAAGTACTAGTCGTCACCACCACTAATATAGTAATTAATCAACTCAAACTATATTTTTCATTCATATCCTTTATGAGTTTCATACGAAATCACAAATGAAATTTGTTCGTAATATCCAATTATAGCTATCGTTCGTTTATATTGAGATTCATAGTTATATGCATGAAAAATCATACGATGGCTGATAGACAAAAAACTGACAGTTCTTCATAGTTCGGTCGTATGAAATTCAACATAAAATCTTGTCGCAAAAAATCATACGATATTTCTATGAAATTCGTTTGATTAATAATCTCAGTGTAGGCAATTAACGTCTACACCTGTCGCTCTCTGAAAATGTAAGTTCAGTAGCTTACGAAGCCTCAGTACTGGTAGTTGGGTAACGATAGAGTTCAATTCGCCTTGCTCATCCAACATGTGTCTCACAAATGATTGCGATTGTTCCAAAACTTCATCTGTTAACAGATCAGGCTCGTCCCTCAAAAGCTTCGAGTACAGTTCCTTGGTGCACTCCTTAGAGCTCTTTTCCCAATATTTTTATCAGTTCCTGCACGAACATTCCGTTTCTTCTTCAGAGTCAAAGGTGGCGTTGACGTTTCTTCATCGTTAAATCGGTTGAGATAATTGTTCCTGTTAATCATTTTATACTTTAATTCGATGTACCCTTGGCCGCCTCCATATCCATCGTCGTCACAAAAGTCGAAACAAGTATATTTATGCAAAATTTGTTTCGATACGTTCGCCATGGTTTCGGCACGGATATCAGTATGATTTACAACTTCGTTCAAAAAACTACTCAGATCTTGTTTTGAAAACCGAAGTGACTGTGGCACTGGCTTTCCTGAGTTCGTATTTTTAAATTGTTGCAAATTTCGCAGTTTTATCAACAGAATATCACTTATCTTGTCCCAGTTAATGACGAACGATCTAAACTTCAATTCAGTTGCGGCATGCTTCTTCGTATTCCTCTGAAGTTTCACTCCACTGCTGTCGTGTTTCCTTTTGCGTGATTTGTTCGGTGATTGATTTTCATGATCTGAATTAGCTTCAGACTCCGACTGTTCATCGACTGCTTCCGATACCTCAGCCTGAGGAACATCGGTTCCCTCAGCTATGGTTGATGTTGCCACAGACGATTCTCTTTGCATATTACTCAATTCTGTTGTTTGTTTCTCGTTTGTCATGACGGACTGTCGTTCGAAATCGACAATTTCACTCCCAGGAGAAGTTATGCTGACCAACGTATTAATTATTGTGTTCTGCTCCGAGATACTTCGCTCATCTTCCTCGATATTATTTAGCAAATCCATGGCCATAAAATCGGGGGATGCGATTACAGAGGTCGGTACCGATTGTTTAGGAGTATTCGATACAAAGGAAATAGTTGTCGGAGCCACCTTTTGATCATATCAGGCATAACATTTCATAACGACACAAAAGCATTTGTAAACAAACTTTCTAAGGCTCTTTACACGCGAACCAAAGTACGCTCACGCAAACCAACAACATCATCGGATAGGGGCAACTATCACCTTTCCGAAAGTGGTATTGGTTTGCGCGGGCGTAAGAAAGTTTGTTTACAAATGCTTTTGTGCTTTTGTACACAAATGTCCAACTGTTGCAATGGTGATCAAAATTATCACCGATTACCTGCAAACAGCGCATTCCCTAACACAGATTTAAAAATCGAATTCGATCCTGTCTCACTGAACAATGCTCATTCAATCACCATGTGTGGTGGTGTCCGGTCGTCAACGTCAGCAGCAGCAGCATCAGCAGAAGCAGTGCTTTCAGCGTGTGGCGTTAACATTGTTCTCCAGTACACCACGAAAGGCAGCCTGCAAACAGTGAGCTGCATAGCCCACATGAGCACCCATAGAAGGAGGAAGAAGCCGCTGGATCGAAATCAGTTTCCTCATGAGTAGCTGTGGGTTATCAATGCCAAGCGTGTCAACCTTGCTCCAAACAATTAACAGCTCGCCAGCTTTACCCCAATAGCTCAGCATTACTCAACCATCACGACTAAACGGTCCTTTTCAGGACCACCACAAATTTGTTATAGAGTATGTTTTTGGATATTGTAAAGGTCATCAATCGGATGTCAGTTCCCGCAAGCAACTATCAAAGCTCAACCTGGTCTATAGAAGGTGTGGAATTGTAGGCCTGAATGTATTGGTGCAATTCGTTTTTCACTCGGTTTTCATTTCGATTCGCACGATTTACTCAGTCGCCCTTGTAGTGACGTCATAATGTTTGTTTCGATCGGCATAGGAAATTGTGTATGTTACCAAAATTTATGAATGGTCTGCCTCTAAATGTTGAGATAATTAATTGATTGTTGAATATCACACTGTGTATACCATGAAAAAGCAGAATGTTTGTGAGTTCCATACAACATACAGCTCGCCAGCCTTATCCGTGTTGAACACCCTAATAGATCAGCATTACTCAACCATCACGACAAAGCGGTCTTTTTCAGGACCATCATAAATTTGGTAGAGTATTTTTATTACGTAGGATTACGTCTTTCGGCAACATATTGGGGGAGCAAATTTCAGAAAATCAAATTCGACCGCATTACGAAAAAAAGGTCAGGTGTTGATCACATACATATAACTCTGTCAATAGCAGATGGATTTTAATTCTAAGCAAGCCAAACGTTTGGACATTTATCTGGCAAATTGCTAAAATGAACACTTCATTAATTTTCAATAAGTCACTATTGAAAAATACACAAATGTCCAACTGTTGCAATGGTGATGAAAATTATCACCGATTACTTGCAAACAGCGCATTCCCTAACACAGATTAAAAAATCGAATTTTTATAGGGGAAATGGCTCTAATGTTGGCCTATGGATCTAACCACTTCGACTTGTTTCGTCTACTTACTACTCTCTGACGACTGTGCTGGGGAAGCAGCATATGCATGTAGGTAATTGGTGGATTTGTTAGTTAATTCGACGCTGTTGGGCAATGCTGGACATTTACCAGTTTTTCAATAGTTTCTTGTTGAAAATCAACATTCGGAAGCATCGATGCGTAGCCATATTTCTGATCGATTAGTGATAAAATTATTGAGATTGGACCAGGGGCAACGTTCAAAATCTTTCTTAATTTGTAACTTGTTCCATTTTCGGTTTTCACAAAGTGTACCCCCATATAGAAATCAAAGACGTAGTCCTACGTTAAAACGGATTAATCATTTTGTCAAGCTTCTGCTTTCATGTTTCATCAGATGTCACTGCTGTTGTTGGCGGTTGGGACCAACGGCTTTACTTCCCTTCCGAAGGAAGACGTGACCAGAGATTTTTATGCCTCAGAAAAATCCCACCGACCTCGGCTGGGATTGAACCCAGACCCATTGGGGCGTTAGAAAGCAGTCACGCTTACCACTACACCACCGACGCCGGCCACCAATACATTCAGGCCTACAATTCCACACCTTCTATGGACCAGGTTGAGCTTTGATAGTTAGCTGCTTGCGGGAACTGACATCCGATTGATGACCTTTACAATATCCAAAAACATACTCTTTAACAAATTTGTGGTGGTCCTGAAAAGATCCGTTTAGTCGTGATGGTTGCGTAATGCAGAGCTATTGGGGTGAGGCTGGCGAGCTGTTAATTGTTTGGAGCAAGGTTGACACACTTGGCATGACCCACAGCTACTCATGAGGAACCTGTTTTCGATCCAGCGGCTTCTTCCTCATTCTATGGGTGCTCATTAGACTGATGCAAAATTTGAAATGTTTGCTCCACAGTGCTTAAACGGTTCCAAATTGGGACCTGCTTAGCCTCCCAAAATTTGAACTACCTTAGTTAGAAACTGACTTGGCACAAACCATTTCAAGATTATATGGGAATTACTATGTGAAAACTTATGTTTGTTCATATTTATCTAACAAT